CCTTTCCAGATAGGAGCTACATGAGAATGTAAGTATAGTTTTGGGCAAACTCCAACTAATCTTTAACAAAAGAAGTTAGATAGGAGTTTATTCCCAAACATAATCTAAGTGTGAGGTATAATGTAATACGAACACAACTCAATTAGCTTTTGACAATAACAATTAGATAGAGACTACTTCTCAAATATAGTTCATATTAAATATGGCTAACCATTTAAGGGACTTCTACAAGGAAATTCAAAATGCGATGTGTGTTATTTATATCCTCGCCCGTTTGCAGCATAGGAAAGGTCCGAAATTAAACTTGTTAGACGGTGTTCCAAGAGGAAAATTCAAGGGAAGAGAAGTTCAAATTCTAAAACTATTTCGAAACAGGCATTCTAGCTGAATCAGTTGTAGTTAAAATTATATTTGCACAGGAGAGCAAAATTCATTCTATCTCAATAGGTGGAGGTAGTAGATGAGTAAATGCGGAGAGGTAGTTCAAGAGGGGGGGTGACGGTGTGTGAACATACATACATATGTATGTGTAAAGATATATATACATACATACATACATAGTACCCTACTGATCTGTCAACTTTCAGTATTAAGTGGTCAGGGTTGTATTTAAGGAAGGGGGGGGTCCTAAGGGCGGCCCCCCGCGAAAAAAACACTGATCCGCTTGCGATGACGAAATGAACCCAACATGGCCGCAAGTGCCTTAAATTAGGCTCGCTGACCTCCAAAGAGGCACATATCGCCCATTGACCTTGGGATCTGTTGAAGGGGTTGTCACACGAACAGCTTGCACGCATTGCTTTCCGTCCTTGCGCGGAACTATTGTTTGCGCAAATGTCAAGACACGCGGTTCGAGGACAGTCAGTAAAACTATGAAAGCACCTTTTGTTGCTCACCGACTTTGTTTGTGTCGCGACAGTCCCGACCCCCTTCCCGCACACCGCCGGCCGTATACAAAAACCTGTTTTTGCAAACAGCCGGGCTGTGGGTTGGGGAGGAGGTCCGGGAAGCCTTAAATACTCCTCCCAATTCCCGAACTTACGGAATTGTGTCAGGGGGAGGGTGGCGCGAATCCTTCAACACAACCCCCCCCTTGAATTTAAGGATTTTCCACCCCCCCCCCCCCATTCCCGTGCCACCCATACCCCCTTTTTGAGGCATGGATTTCTTAAAAATCATGACAAATCAGCGTTTTTTGTTTGAATCCTTACCTCTCAAAATCATTAATTTTGAGGTATGCTTTGCTAAAAGAAAGCTTCTTTTTTTGCGGGAATTTATGAAACCCATGCCTCAAAAGAAGCGGCCAGCCTTAAATACAACCCTCCCCCCTGTATTTAAGGAATTTGGGTTGTACTTAAGCATTTGGGGGGTGTACTTAAGGTTTTCCCCTTCCCCATCTCTGAATTTTGGGTGGCACGGGCATGAGGGGATGGGGGGGTGGAAAAGCCTTAAATTCAGGGGGGGGGGGGGGGGGGGCGTTTAAGGATTTCAATTCCTTAAATTCTCGAGGGGGTGGGGTTGTATTCCTTCAGTTCGTGGGGGGTGCGTTTAAGGATGCTCGGTATTTAAGGATTCCTGGGCCTCCTACCCGACCCACAGCCAACGCACAGCCAGGCTGTTTACAAAACTAGAGGACGATTGGCCCGAAAGCATTTTTCCACAGGTGTTCATCCAGCCGCGGAGACACCTTTTTACATCGCTGCGGCGAGTGTGTCTGCGCGCGGCGATGCTCAGTGTGTATGGTCACATGAGAGCTCCATCTCATCATCCTACTTTCCTCTCGAACTGCGCCGCACGAAAGTGGTCTGCGCAAGCTGCATTGTTCCACGCTGCTGCGCGCAAGTTTCTCTCTGCAAGCTGCTGCCCGCAAGTGCTCTGTGCAAGTTGCTCTGAGCAAGTTGCTCTGCGCAAATGCTCTGCGCCAGTTGCTCCGCGCAAGCGCATGTGCTCTGTGCAAGTTGGTCTGTGCAAGTTGCTCTGCGCCAGTTGCTCCGTGCAAGCGCTTTGCGCATGTGCTCTGTGCAAGTTGCTCTGCGCAAGTGCTTTGTGCAATTGCTCTGTTGCTCTGCGCAAGTTGCTCTGCGCAAGTGACTCTGCGCAAGTGACTCTGCGCAAGTGCTGCCGGAGCTGTGGGAATGTACTTTGCGTACTATTTTTGTACTTAAAAACTGCGATTTTCCAGCCGGAGCTGCGGGGGTGTGCTCCGCGTACTACTTAAAAGTTGCGATTTTCCAGCCTGAGCTGCGGGAGCACGCTCCGCATACTACGTCTGTACTTAAAAGTTGCGATTTTCCAGCCGGAGCTGCGGGAGTGTGCTCCGCGTACTATTTTTGCGGGGGTGTGCTCCGCGTACTACGTTTGTACTTAAAAGTTGCGATTTTCCAGCCTGAGCTGCGGGAGCACGCTCCGCATACTACGTCTGTACTTAAAAGTTGCGATTTTCCAGCCGGAGGTGCAGGAGCACGCTCTGCGTACTACGTTTGTACTTAAAAGCTGCGATTTTCAAGCCGGAGCTGCCGCGGACCGGGGGGGAATCGAACCCGCGACCGCGGGATTGCGAAAGCAGGCGCGCGAGCCACGAGACAACTTCCAAAGGCCATTTCGCGAGCGCGCGGCGCCACAGCGACGACCACGCGAATCTGCGCAGAGGGTCGCGCGCGGCTTGCAGAAATCGTAAAAAGTCCACAGTTTTTGAACCTCGGCCACGCGAATCTCCGCAGAGGGTCGCGCGCGCACCGCAGAAATCGTAAAAAGTCCCCAGTTGTTGAACCTCGACCACGCGAATCTCCGCAGAGGGTTGCGCGCGGCTTGCAGGAATCGTGAAAAGTCCTCAGTTTTTGACCTCGACCACGCGAATCTCCGCAGAGGGTCGCGGCTTGCAGAAATCGTAAAAAGTCCACAGTTTTTTAACATCGACCACGCGGATCTCCGCAGAACTCCCGCCCCGGCGCCTTAGAAACCTAAACTAACTTACATAGCTGCTTACGCCGAAGCTCTACGCAAGCTCTACCTAACCGTGGCTCTGTGCCACCTGGCTCTGTGTCATTTGGCTCTGTGCCACTTGGCTCTATGCAACTTGGCTCTATGTAACTTGGCTCTATGTAACTTAGCTCTATGCAACTTGGCTCTATGTAACTTGGCTCTATGTAACTTGGCTCTATGTAGCTTGGCTCTATGTAACTTGGCTCTATGTAACTTGGCTCTATGTAACTTGGCTCTATGTAACTTGGCTCTGTGCAACTTGGCTCTGTGTAACTTGTCCAAAGGCTCCGCACGGAAGAACCCTTCGCGATGCTTTCGGGAAAAACAGTTTTTGTATATGGCCAGTGGGGGGGGGGGGGGACTGTCGGGACACAAAGTCGGTCAGCAAAACAGAATGTGGTTTCATAGTTTTCTTGCCCTCGATCGGCGTGTCTTGACATTTGCGCAAACAATAGTCGCGCGCAAGGACAAAACAAAGTGCATCCCATAGATACATATATAACTATATATATATACATACGTGCCGAGTGGCAACTGGGCCAATTATCAATTTAAATGTCCCGACGGCCTCACGGCATGATTTCAAAAGACATGACCTGAACCGCTTTTGGCAGGACCTTAAACGCAACCCCCCCTCAATAAGAAACCCTAATACTCTAAAAAAACAGTGTTTTTTGGCATTACGCCTACCTTTGTTTTCCTCCTGGAAAAGGGTCAACATGCTTCATAGCTAACAAGAAGCAAAACCGCTCACCAAAAGCACTTGAAAGTTTGTCTAACAAATAACTTGAAAGTGTTTCCACTGGATAGCTAAGCACTTGAAAGTATTTTACCGCTGGATGGAAAATCCAGATTGAAGATTACACAGAAAACTTTCTTCTCACACTTGAAAGTGCTTTACCACTGGATTGAGAATTCAATGTCGAGGATTGCACAAACAACAACTTTCCTGAGAATCATCCATCCAACAAATGATCAAGTTGTTCTAAAACTTCGAACGTATTTTACCACTGGATTGAAGATTTGAGATTGACATATTTCACGGAAAGCTTTTGCGGGAATCTTATTGAACACCGGGAGTATTGGGACAAACCTGGCTATATTTTTAAAAAAAAATATCCGGGACTCAAGATTCAAGATTCCCAGAAAAATCTCAGATTCTTGAATCTTGAATCTTGAATCCAGGATTTAAAATATCAGTTGTTCTAATACTCTTGGATGTATTCAAACTCTTTCAAATTGCAGATGCTGATGTCATCGCTTTTGTCACATATGTACGCATGCATGCATGTCATACTTCTTCCTCTCTCCCTTGTCTCCCTCGTGTGCTCTGTCGTCCTCTCTCCCTCTCCCCCTCTCTCTCTCTCTCTCTCTCTCTCTCTCTCTCTCTCTTTCTCTCTCTCTCTCTCAGACAAAAAAAAAGAGAGAGAGAGAGAGAAAGAGAGTCTAGTGTGTCCTGAGATGCGTGCAGACACCTCCCGATAGCAAATGGTGGCATTGTTGCAAACATTAAAACAATTGAGACCTTCCAATTCCGCCGCAAAATCAAGAGCACAAAAACTAGCATATACTACTGGAAACACAAACCCAAACACCTAGATCCATTGGCGGTATCAAAAATGTTTGTGCACACATATATATATATATAAACAAGCATGCACATAGGTGTGTAGGCAGCAGGCAGTTCGAATGCGAACTTAGTGTCACCGGCGGAGTCTTTGCCGGGCTGCAGGTGGGGCTAAAAAGTTTGTGGCTCGGAGAGACTCGCCTTACAGACCAGGCATTGACGCACTGCGTCATGCCAAATCAACACCAGCGACAGAGAGTGAAGAAAATCATCAGACTGTCCAACTCCCAGGTGCGAACAATTGACACGCTTTGGCACGCGCTTAGACCCAACACACACTCATGTTTTGCTTGCCTCCTGTCACACTCACAAAATCATTGGACGTCGGCCACTTGTAACTTGTTTCGAGCCACTGCTGCCAAGTGCGGTAACAGTCGATGAAGTTGAGCCGACAGAGCTCATGGCTGACTTGCGCCTTGCAATGTTCTCGCCCGTCGTTTTTAGCCTCCCCCCCCGCCCCCAATGGCCTATCCAGGGGCGGGCGGGGGGGGGGATATCCCAAACAAAAATACATCGCGGGGTCGAGAACCAAACGATTTGGGCCAACAAGGGGGGGGGATACCCCAAACAAATATACACCGCAGGGTTGAGCGCCATACGATCTAAGCCAAAAAGTATCCCAAAAGAATATACACCGCAGGGTCGAGCACACTGCGATCTACGCTGGAAAGGGGGGACACCCCCAAACAAATATACTGCGCAGGGTCGAACACCATACGATCTAAGCCAAGGGGGGATATCCCAAACAAACTAGGCCAAAAAGGGGGCGCCAAGGAAGACTGGATCATATATGGTCAAGGGTTCGCAAGTCCCCCCCCCATGGCCAGTCCTCCACCCCTTGTAGCGCGGTTGGGGTTGGTTTATGGTTGGTCTAAAACCACCCCTCCCCTGTGGTGGGGTTGTAGTGGTTTAGGCTTGGTTTAGAGTTGATCTGGTTCTAGTGGTTAAGGTGGTTTAGGGTTGGTTTAGAGTGTGTTTGATGTTGGTTTAAAGTATGTGGTTTGTGATGTTGGTTTGGGTTGGTTTAAGGTTGGTTTATGGTTGGTTTAGAGTGTATTTGGTGTTGGCTTAGGATGTATGTCTTGTAATTATCCTTGGTGCAGGGGTGGCTTCGGTTTGTTCCGGGGTGGTTTAGAGTGTGCTTAGTGTTTGTTTAAGATATGTGCTTAATCTAAGGTTGGTTTACGGTTGGTTTAGGGTTGATTAAGTTGGTTCAGGCTTGGTTTAGAGTGTGTTCAGAACTCGTCAAGTGTTGGTTTAAGGTGTGTGTTTCGAGCTAGTTTAGGGTTGGTTTAGGTTTCGGGTCAGCTTGGGAGCAGGGCGTGCCGAGGTGCGGGTTCAGGGGGTGAAGGGGCCGGGGTTTGGGGACCGCAGCAGCAGGGTTTTTGCTGGAGGTCGGGGGGATACCATGGGGGGGTGGGGGACTGGGAACCCGGAGCCCGGGACCATATAAATATATCGCTGGTGGTTTATTTGTGTATTTGCTTATTTGCTTATTTGTTCATACAGTACATACATTGCATGGCATGCATACAAATGGACATAAGTACCTACAGACGTACATACGTTCATACATATTTACTTACTTATGCACAAACTAACATATGTACCTATATACTTGCGTGCGAACATACTTGCATGCATATTTACGCGATAACTTGCGCATGTGCGCACGTACGTACATACATGCCTGCACATATATATATATATATATGCACCCATACATACACACCTAGGCTTTCTGGAATGCAAGATAGCAAGCATTGGTTGCCTGACATTGGCTTCAAAGGATCACTTCAGTTCGGGAGCTGTCAAATTAGCCGCTTGTTGGTTTGGCAGTCAAAACGATCGATAAGCCGCTGAGCAAGCAGCGTGCCAGACTGAAGGTCGTCGTGTTGTCGAACCATGAAATCTAAGAGTCAAACCACAGGAATGGTGGCGAGTCCGCGGTTTGCATGTTTTGCGAATGCAGCTTCAAGGGCAAAACGAGTATCTTAAGATTCCTGGTCAACACGTGCCATTTGGAGACAAAGCTGGCTGGCTGAACAGTTCGAGGATTCGGACTCTTAGCGAGATGCCCTGGTTGCTCACTGAGGATACTGCCGCTGGTTTTTCTGATCATCAGCCCCACCAACAACATTCTTCAAAACGCTGGCGTTTTGCGCGTGACACGAGTCCTTCGAGTACTTCGAACCGCTCGAATGGTCAGATTAGTCCGCACGATGCCAGAGCTCATGATTCTGATCAAAGGACGGAGCATGGCACGTGGGATTGTTTGAGTGCTTCCCTATCGCCTGCCCTTTTAATCAAGCCCAAAATGGGTACCTTCAAAAAAGGCACAGCCACATGGTGGTTCCAAGGGTTACGAAACCATGCGACATGTGCAAACACTCGCGGCAAACGCAGAACATATTTTACCCATGTCAAAAGATAAGGGAAAGGAATACTACAGCAAGAGGGAGCAGCTGCAAAGCAAGCCAACGAAGACCTTGGGTCTTTGAAACTGCTTCGCTTACCTAGAGATTGCATCAGTCCCAGCGTTGACCAACCGCCCAAACAACCCTGGACTTTGTGTGGCTCCCAAAAGGTGCCGAGGCAACTCGCTGATGTGTTTCTGTCGGAAATTTTGTTGATGCTTGCGCGAGAGCTCCGCGAAAGAGCCCGGCGATCTTCCCGAGCCCGTCATGTGTCGCATGCTCGACTTGTTGGGAGTAAAGCGAAATGCGTTTTCGACCTGCCGCTTTTTTCACACGGTTTCATGAAACCCCACCCTAAACCCCGTTATGCTAAGCCCCAAGCCCAATCCCGAACCCACCCGAAGGCTAAGGCCAAACCCCTAATCCCAACTCATCCACCAACCCTCAGTGGCCCAACAACCAAACTAAAGCCAAACAATTTGAGTCCATGAACCAGCCCACAACCCACCTGCAGCGAAGCCCTGCGCACCAAAAGGACCTCTATCCATGAGCCGTGTCTACAAACCTTCACCAATCCAACGCAAACTCCTCAAGGACCCACACAAGTTCACCATCCAACTCAGTCGCACAGCTTAAAATTCTCACACCTGCGCATCCTTTCCAGCCCAAACCCCCCCATCCCCGCCTAAACCCCTCTTGTTGAAAGCCTTAGCTCCACCAGGAATGATGGTGGCATGCCGGTCAGTCTTCTTCACCTTGCTTCTTCTGTCGCCTAGCAGATCAGTAAAGAACCCCGCGGAATTGATTTTGGAGACTGGGCACTCTGCCAAAATGCCCCATCAAACGTGTCAGCATCTGGCAGTGGCTGGCCGCGGAGTTTGATGGCACGGCCGTTTTTATGTTTCCGAGCAGTGCTGGAAGTTGTTTGAGATGTCTCGCGCCAAAGAAGGTTCGGCCTGCCCTCTTGGCCGACTGTTGGTATTGACAGCATGTTGGCTGCTTTGTTTCTTGATCTAATCCAATCGTTCGCGCGTTATTCGCTGACTGGGCGAGTGCCCCTGAGCCCAGGTTTATCATCACCTTCGTCTTCAGTATTGCTTTTGTGGAATTTTGTCGAGGAACGCCTTTGGAAGATATGTACTTTGATTCTTTGGCGCAGTCGGTGGCCACGCTGACCCTTTGCTTGCTTCGACCGGTTTCGCTGTTGGTGAGGCTAGTTGTGAGTGTTTTCCTGCTCTGCGAAAGCGCGAGCGTGGGCATGCGAAAGCTTAGGACCTTAGAATGTATTTTTACAGATCAGCAGCATTTTGTCCGAAGATTGACGGAGCAAAGCGTGCTACACGGCTTGCTGGTGATGCTGTTTATCCTGCTGGGATCGATGACCGCCACTCGACGAAATGGAGAGCCCATGGCTCCAGATAGTCAGCTGTGCCCACATGGCTTTGCCGTTTTGTCTTGTTGTTCTTTGTGCAGATTTGAAAACCTTGACATTTCCAAGATCCAAAACAAGAGTTGAGAAGAACTCCAAGCCATGTACTGGGGGGTGCACAAATCGGGAAGTGTAACCGAAGCCCCATTTGAGATCGAGAGAACGGGTCCTGCCAATCGTCCTCTAGTTATTCAAGCCAACTTCAATTCGATTTGCATCTTGCCGTTGCTTCACTGGCTTCAAAAACCCAGGCACGCTGACCTCTCTTAGATGCACAATTGTTTCGGGGAGGAAGCCTCGTGACACCGCTGGTTTGACAGGTGGCTGTGGATCAAAACCAACGGTACCATTTTGGGGTAGGTGCACCACCCATTTTAGAACCTATATTACTGAAGATTGGGATGTTCACTGGGGGATAACCGGGCTTTTGACCCATGGCCAGGTCATGAACATGCTTCTGGGCATCCTTGTGGAGGCTGTGAAGGCCGTCTCCGCAATCGAGCAGGAACAGCTGGTGGCCGACTTCGCCAAGAGGGTATTGTGGGAGCTCATTGACAAAGACGATCATGATGAGGAAGATGATGACCGCATGATTTCAGAGGAGGAGCCAAAAGCCTAAAAGCCTTGTTTTTTGTTCGAAGTTGTTTTGTCTTGCAGACATGGAATGATAGCACATCAAGTCAGAGAAGCACACATGGCCCATCTCAGGGTTTTTCGCGCTGAGGGGCTTGATTAGATCCATATCCTTCCTAGCTGCGGTAGCTGGTTTGGCCCGTCTCTCTAATTGGCGATCTAGTTTGACTGAGATGGATCTTCGGTTGGAAGCACGTGTGACTCAAGTCGGCTGGAGCTCCACGCCGCGGGTGGGATGCAACGCCTGGGGTCCCTAGTCAACCTCCGGAAAGCCAGGGAAAACGGATCCAGTTTTGGAGAAGGAGGAACCCCTGGAACGTGATGTCCTGAGAGATTCCAAGGACAATTCATACCCATCTAAACGGTCTGCGACGTCGAAGCTGTTGGAGGTTCAGCTACCCTGTAAGCGCAGGAGTTTACACATTTGCTTTGCAAGCCAAAGGCCGTCAAGGCGCTATCTCGTATCGGAGTTGATGCGTCTGCGGCGCTGGCGAACGCCAAGCTGCTATTTGAGGATGGGGAAAGCATCTTGGCTTACAATCGCTGTTTCGAGCTTTGCATTCGCGGCTGCCTGGGCTCTTGGGGGATTCAGCCACACGAATCGACAAAACTTGCTGGTGCGCCTAGACGACAATCAGCAAGCGAAGGCCTTGGGCGTTGCACAAAGCATTGCAGTGGTTTAGGCTGCATTGTGCCTGCATCGTTCCAACATATGAAGCATACCTGCTCAAGGAAGATGGGCACGACATGTTGGGGTGATGCAGGCCGCATCAGGACGCAGGCAATAATGCGCCCCAAGAGACGTTCAGAGCATCCAGCAGCAAACAAGCTCAGAGTCAAGCGAATTTGTGTGAAGGCGGCCTGGAACCGCTCGCAGAGTCGTCCCGCAAACCAAGCATGGAGACTGAATGAGGTGGGCTTGAGTGGAGGCATTCGTTCGAGGAGCAGTTAGGCCGATGCTGTCACCAAGCCCCTGTGTTGTTTCAACAGTATTAACAGCACCCATCCAAGTTGATTCACATTGATTACTTTTGGAGCTGGGATTTGCGGCCTGTCTTGGTTGATTGTTGAATTCCGTTTAAAAGATTGCGGTTCATGGGACGCTTCCTTTGGTGAAACCAACTTGAGTCAACCAACTCGAAAGCTTTATACATGTTGACTCGCAGTAATAAAAGCGTTCTATGAATAGGGGGTGTGTCCTCCAAAAGTGATGGATCCTGAAAGCGAACGCAGCCTATCATTAATCAGTGCATTTGCATCCCTTGTTTGGCGATATGATGTTGTATGTGCCAGAGGAAACATTCGGCTTGGTGCTGGAAACAATCGACGCAGCAGCAGTTGTGTCACACCCACGCACTCATTAGATCGTGAATATGGTCATGTTTGTTTGGTCAATCACTAGCGCAGAGTTGCGCCGATGCTTTTTGAAGAGCAACCATGCGAATCGCTGCAAAGCAACCATCATCCACAGCCGAAGCTTAGTTTACCACGAGTGTCGCTTCAACAACACAAGGCTTGCGCTTGTTGCGCCAGCAGTGCGAGCTCGGCCGGGAGCGATTTCAACGCGGTTTGTTGGATTTGTTTCGGCTCCTGTTCACCTGAGGCATCACTTTCCATGAGTTCATGCACGCAATGCTCACTTTGCGTCTCTCCAATACAACTACGGTGAAAGACATCATCGAACTGCGGAAGTATGTGGCAGAGGAGCCCGAAACTTAGGGACGCATTTGGGAAGGCACAGACAATGACCCTTCTTTTGGCCCCCCCTGGCTGTGTTCCCCCCTGAAAAGTTCCGATACTCCGTGAAGCCTTTTGCCATGAGTGTGTGTGTGTGTGTGACTGTGTGTTCTGCGCGTTTGTGTTGGAAGTCATTCGTCAGGTGCATTTGAGGTGAGCTTGGCGTATCTTGAGGTTCTCTGAAATGCAGACGTTGATCAACGAGCTTTGCAGCTTCATCGCAGACACTTGGGACGATAGCCGGAGGCCGGCATCTAAGCTGTCGCTGCGTTTTCTTTCAGTCACCAAATGCGTCTGAGGCCGAGCCCAAGCTCTTCGCTCGTAGTACAGCGGCTAAACTAGTGGTGTACATTTCCGCACCTGCTGGCTGAGCCACAGGGAAAGCCGTGCCCCACTGCGAAAAGGAGCGAACCGAGGGGGAGCCCGGCTTCAGTCAGTTCCACGAATTCGTATTACGGAGCCCTCTGTGCCCGATGTGTCCGAGGATCCAAGTCGCTGTCGCGGGTTCCTTCGGTCCTGATGCGCGGCTGGCAGGCTTCAATGGATCACTGGAGTTCCATCCTGCGATAGGCGCGCGATGCATTCAAGCGGATGGCCACTTGACATGGGTTTGTCTCAAAATCGATGGAACTGTTGGTTTTCTTTGGGGTTGCCTTCAAAACCAGCAAGAGGTTCGCTCAAAATAGGCACGCGTCATCAGCAAAACGCACTGGTTCTTTGTGGTCGGCAATCGTTACAGACTCATGTCAGCTGTGTTGCTTCTTCTCGGGCGAGAAGATATGCTGCGAAGTTCTGAACATTTGCAGTTGGCTTCAAAAAGAACTTGGGGTGAAGCTATACAAGGTTGGATGGAAGGTGCCCCAGGTGGAAAAGACGCCCTCGACGAGGATGAGAGTTCATTCATTGGCCGCAGATTTAGCTTTACCCGGTTCTATTTTAGGCGACCAGGCCAAGCAAGAAACACTGAAAACGGCAATCTTATTGGAAGAAGTCCATGGGTTTGGGGCGCTGAATTGCATGCAAGAGAAGGCCCAAAAGAGGACCCAGATAGCACTGGTTTCAGTCAAGTTGTGCTTTATCATCCACCACTGCCATCAATCTTTTCCAAAAGGAGACCTAGAACAAGATATCATCGCCTTGCCAGGTAGCCAAGCTTGGGACCCTGTAAAGGACAAACTTTTTCCACAGGGCGCTGTTCTTCGGGCGTGTGCCAGAACTTGTCGATGGCTTGCATGCTGCACAGAGAACAGGCGTTGTAAGCCAGTGGAAGTGCAAGAGCTGCGGTACAGTTGCTGTAGAAGGGGGTGTTGGCGGAAAGGCACAAATAGGCACCCTTGACACAGAGTCAAGCGTTTCGAGCTCAGAGGCCATATAGCAGCCAGCCCTATTGGCAAGAGCAGTGCCATAGAGCGCTTCCAAGAAAGGCAGGGCTCTTGTTAAATGGGCGTGTGGGTTTGTGTGTGTTTGTCAGGTAATGGTTGTTGTAGTTTTAAAGGCAAGCCAAAAGGAAAGACACCATGTTGGGGTCCAACCTTCAAAAGACGCCCAAATTGCGAGGAGGGCGCTCTTGCGCGATTCTTGGCATGCTGGCCGTGATAAATCGGTGTGTGTGTGTGTGTGTGCCCTTGCTTTTGGTGAGCCAACGTTATCTTGTCTGGGTTCACACAACTTAAAGGTGACGCTTTTTTCACAAAAAGTTTCGATTAATCGTCATGAGCGGTGGAACCATATGGCAAGTCCAATAGCTCGAAGTCCGAGGCCGAAGCGACGGGAGCTGCACAACTTTGGCCGTGTTACTATTTTGCGTGCGCGCATGAGAACAAGGATGCCAAAGCCTTGGTTGCCAGGGCGACGCGGGGACTGCGAGACAAGGGCTACGAGCTTCTAGACGCCCAGATCCCCATCGAGTATGCCTCTTCGCTTCCAAAATCGGATGTGCGGCGAAAGAAAATCGGTCGTGTACCCCCCTCAAAATAGGCACTTGGGTATGACGGGACTTACTAGTAGCAAACTTCCAAAACCAGGGAGACCAACTTGCAGAAATGGCATCAAAGTGGTGGAAGAGAGCCCTAGTGTGCCTTGCTATGAAGCTTTCTGGCCTTCAGATGTGCTTGAAGATCGCATGTTCAGGGCCTTGTTGTTGCTTCCAGAGTGAAAAGAAAATCATGGGCTGCGGTGATATCATCAGCTGAGACATGCATACCCACAGCGCATCTTCGTCCGTCAACTCGGATCCAGGTGCCGAAACGGGGCGCGAGCCATGCAAAGAGTCACCTGCAGCACAACATCTTCTGGGCTTCGAGGTGTTTGAGCTAGCAGCCCGACTAAAGAAGCACCAGATGGTATTGCACAATACGTCACAAGTGACAAGCCCACCGTGTAGCTGAGATGCAAATCAAGAGCTGTTAGCTGCGCCTGAGAATTCGCCAATGGCTCTGCTGCTTACAGGGCCTACGAGCGGTGGCCTTAGGGATTTGTTTGTCAAGCCCCGGAAGAATCCCTGGTCGCGGGAGTATTTCGCCCTGCGGCTCTGAAGGGCATTGCAAGTCGCATCAGGGCACGTACTTCAATCTGGGCACGGAGTCAAAAAATTGCATGCTGAGATTTTGGCAAGTGCAACCACTGGATCCTTATCAGGCTATAGTTTCTTGCAGCTTCCGAAACCAGGACAGATCAGCTGACAGCTGACACAGCAGACTTGTGTTTCCTTTGAGGCCTGGCTGCATGCGCGGCGGCTCAGGGAATGTTGTTGCCACATGGGCGAAGCAGATGGCGCCACCATGCCATGGGTCAAAACCTATGCCTCCATTGGGCGGAGGAACGCCCATGTACCACCCATGTTTGATGTTTAGCAGGGGAAGAAAAGGGTTTTGACCCACAGCCAGTCTGAAATGTCCAGACAGAGGGTCCAAGTTGGCCTCGTCCCGCAGCGAAACTTGCGGTTTGGTCCCAAGATGTGGAAGATCTTCCCATCCAGTGGGACATAAATTTGTTTTCTTTTTGGCGGTTTTTCTTCCTAGGTGGTCACATGGTGCTGGACCTTTTTATATCCACCCAAAAACATGTCGGAAAAGACGCGATGTCGCGCCTGCTCGGCGGATTTTTGGCCGTCTGGCTTTGGCTCCCTGGGCCCCTCCCCCGCCGGCCGCTTGCCGCTCGGAGGTCCAGCACGCTGTGCAAGTGCATCTGTGGCACTGGCGGCGACGCCAAGAAGGCGGGGGGGGAAGGCGGCAAGGCGGAGGCGAGAACGAGCGGAAAGGCGGCTTGTGGTTGTTTTTGGTGGTAAAATGAAGGAAGGGGCGCGGAAGGTCGGGAGAAGCGCGGAAGCTGTTTGACGTCTCAATGAATCGGGGTGGCTTCCACTTTTGCTTCCTACCGGAAAGCAGCCGGCCGAACAACAAATGGCTGTGGGTCAAAACCAATGGTACCATTTTGGGGTAGGTGCACCACCCATTTTAGAACCTATATTACTGAAGATTGGGATGTTCACTGGGGGTACGGGATTTGACCCATGGCCAAATAGATTTACCACTTGAGTTGACCTCGCCAGGTACGCGGAACCTGCGGTCCACTTCCTGGTGAATTAATTTTGACCCATCCCCAAGTGTTGTGCGATGTTAGAAACAAAAGTCCACCGGTTCTGAGCATTGCTCCATGGCTTTTTTCCCCTCAGGACCAGTTCGAGCTGCAGCCAGCCTTCCCAACTGCCGCACCCTGGCGCGTCGAGTAGGTTCTCACTGGAAATATGTGTCCACCAAGTAACAGCCGGAACCTGACGTTCAGGAACCCGGTCCCTGGAACAGTAAAATGGCCTTCCAGGCGAATGGGTTGGAGGGTATGTTCCCTTTTTCTGCTCACTGGGCAATTGGTGATTGGGGCACTTCGCCCTGCTTTCAGAGGACAGGTGCCTGTGTTCTGTGCTTGCGCAGATTTGATTGACAAGCACCAATCAGACAAGAGGCTCTTGGGCTGCACGAGGTCCACTGCCAGGTATCAAAATGAGACCTGGGCCCCCGGTTGGTGTCCTTAGGGCTTCCCTTCAAGAGCATCGAAGCCGGGGTTCCAGCGCCAAGGACTTCAGCCTTGCCATGGCCCAAGTCTGGCGAAGTGTTGCGACCGGATCAAGGGGAGGCAACTCATTTTGCAGCCATACTCACAGTTTTAAAAAGGTGCGTGTATGGTTTTCTGGCATTGCCATCATTTCACGGAATGCATCCTTCGCGAAAAATCGGTGCATGCCAACACCCAGGCATTGGACACGGACGAGACGCCTTTAACACGGCCTGCAAGCTCTGCCAAGCGCCTGAGCCGCCTGGCTGCAGATACGGAGCTGCCCGCCATACTGTCCCAGGATGTTAAATTCAACTTGACTGGTGCGGCCAGAAGGGTCAAGTTGTCGTGCATTTGCTTTTATAACTTACACGTGTCCATGCGACTGCCACATGTTTCAGGTGTGGAGGTTGCAAAACATAGCAGAGGGCTTCAGGAGGCCCAGATGTGCGAATGCCTCGAACAGGACCCCATGCTTCTCACCTTGTGGTAAGTCCAGGCGATGTATGTCGTTTGCATGGGAAGCCCTTTAGGGCAAATCACCACTTTGTGGGTTCACGGTTTTCAGACACACCTTTACGTTTGGTACACAGATGTTGGTCGCTCCGCGGACAAAGTTCAAGGCTTCTCCACTCTCCAGCAGCCGCTGCGGGGTTCTCCGCCGGGATGCTGAGTTAGCTGTCGATGATGTGAGTGTCCAAGTAAGAAGCCCTTTGAGGTTGGGTCAAGATATCCAGTGGTGACATATGGCCAATGTGGGAGGGATATGCGCGGCACAGCCATGAGGTTCCCATGTTCGGTAACCTTGTGTGTTGACCATGGCGCATTTGAGCAGCGACCCTAGCCCCTTTGGCTAGTTTAGTAGCTATGTAAACTTTAGGACCATTTTGGTAGAAGCCAAAGTCAATGAGTTGTGGCCGCTACGTCCGTTTACCAACACACTTTCGCGTGGCCCCAGCGTAGCCCCCCGCGTGGCCATTTATGAACAAGTATGCTCTGCGTAGCCCTCGCGTGGCCAAATTCCTGGGGGAAAGGCAACCGCGTAGCCTCCGCGCAAGTACGTGCTGCCAGTGTATAGGCCCCACACAATAGAAAAGAACACGGCTCATTCAAGCAACGCCCGTGTCATGTCAAGTAATGTGGAATCGGTTGGCCTTTCAATGCTTAAAACAAATGAGAGGTAACAAGGCAGCTAGTTTGTAGTGTCACTGCCGTGTCATGGCACCTAAAGATTGTGTGTTTTGTGAGTTGAATAAGTTGAATTCCGTTTGATAGTAATTTTGCCAGCCAGTGTTTGGTCGGTGGCAGCCCGTGCGGTTTCGATGTTCATGTAGCATTTGCAGACCGCTTCATGCCTAAGACCTTTGGCACATGTCTAGTTCTTCGAGCAGCAGGCAGTGTGTGTGTGTGTGAATCTCACGTGTTTCATTGCTTTTCTCACTTGGACGGCTGGTTTGCGGAGCCCCTTTGTTTCACGGCAAATGAGAGAGCCGGGATTTCACATCCAGGATTCGGCAGGGGCAGCTCTGGTACCTCTCGGCAGAAGACCAGGCACGACTTTCCAACTGAAGGGGAGGTTTTTTGGGAAAAGGGCAGCGGGGTCTGAAATTATGAGACCATCTCTTTGAACCTATGCATCGTTGACTGGTTCGGTTTGGGCCTCAAGCTGCTCAAGCCTTTCTCTGAAACTCGCCAGCCTTTCGCTTCCCAAGATGCGTGAGCTCGTGCACGTGCAGGGTGGACAGTGCGGCAACCAGATTGGCGCAAAGTTCTGGGAGGTGATCGCGGACGAGCACGGCATTGATCCCACAGGCACCTACCACGGCGATTCTGACTTGCAGTTGGAGCGGATCAACGTCTACTTCAACGAGGCAACCGGTGGCCGCTATGTGCCCCGTGCCGTGCTGATGGACCTGGAGCCGGGGACCATGGACAGCGTCCGTGCAGGGCCCTTTGGCCAGCTCTTCCGGCCGGACAACTTCGTCTTCGGACAGACCGGTGCCGGCAACAACTGGGCGAAGGGCCACTACACGGAAGGGGCCGAGCTCATCGACTCAGTGCTTGACGTGGTGCGAAAGGAGGCCGAGGGCTGCGACTGCCTGCAGGGATTCCAGCTGTGCCATTCCCTTGGCGGAGGCACGGGTGCAGGCATGGGGACCTTGCTGATCTCCAAGGTGCGCGAGGAGTATCCCGACAGAATCATGGAAACATTCTCTGTGATTCCCTCGCCCAAAGTGTCCGACACCGTTGTGGAGCCTTACAATGCCGTGCTCAGCTTCCATCAGCTCGTGGAGAACTCTGATGAGTCCTTCCTGCTGGACAATGAGGCCTTGTACGACATTTGCTTCCGCACGCTGAAGCTGACAACGCCAACTTACGGCGACCTCAACCACTTGGTCTCCGCAGCCATGTCTGGGGTGACCTGTTGCTTGCGCTTCCCCGGACAGCTGAACTGCGACCTGCGCAAAATTGCCGTGAACTTGGTGCCCTTCCCGCGGCTGCACTTCTTCATGACCGGCTTCGCACCGCTGACCTCCCGCGGGTCGCAGCAGTACCGTGCTCTGACGGTGCCTGAGCTGACTCAGCAGATGTTTGATGCCAAGAACATGATGTGCGCGGCAGATCCCCGTCACGGGCGCTACTTGACGGCTGCGGCGCTGTTCCGGGGCCGCATGTCAACAAAGGAAGTGGATGAACAGATGCTTAACGTGCAGAACAAGAACTCGTCCTACTTTGTGGAATGGATCCCGAACAACATCAAGGCATCGGTCTGCGACATCCCGCCAAAGGGCTTGAAGATGGCGGTCTCCTTTGCCGGCAATTCCACTGCCATCCAAGAGATGTTCAAGAGGGTTGCGGAGTACTTCACCGCTATGTTCCGCCGCAAGGCATTCCTGCACTGGTACACCGGTGAGGGAATGGATGAGATGGAATTCACGGAGGCCGAGTCAAACATGAACGACCTGGTCTCTGAGTACCAGCAGTACCAGGATGCCACAGCGGAGGAGGAAGGTGAATTCGATGAAGAGGAGGGCGAATACGATGGCTAGAGCCAAACCGTTTCTACCACAATTGCTCGGACGGGCCCGTGTTGAAAGCATCATGGTATCCCACTGAGCAGCTTGGTGCACTTTCAAGAAACGCGTCTTGAAGGTACACGCTGGGCAATGGAGGGAATAAAAGCAAGTTGGCTGGTTCGGTTTTCAGGATTCAGAAGCTGAGGGCGATGGTGTGTCTTCGTATCGTGTGCATGTTTGAAACTCTTTGGCTCTCAATTTGCCGAGCAGGAGTGCCTCGTTTCAGAAGTCATAGTAACAAACATGGTCCCAGTGCAACCTTGTTGCAGAGCACATGCCAGTGAGTAATTTGTCAGGGGTCCCCCTATTTTGACACATACCCATGTACACCGCGGATCTCAGTGGTCAAAGCGTCAGACTCCCTGTCGATCAGGCGGACCCCGTGAACTTTTCACTGTATGTCAACGGCTTCTCCTTCAAGCATGAAGGAGCTCAGCTGGTTAGCAGAGTGGTTCAGCCACAAACAGCATGAAGGATGCAACATGAACGCCGACGATTCTTCCCAGTGCGCTCACTTCTTAATTCCGTTCCTGCTTGAGCTAAACGTGCGCTTGGTTGTTCGCTCATTATTGTTCGTGGCCGGCATTTGTTGTTAGGGCAGCTCCTCATGTATTCAGTTCTCCACCTGTTGCACGTGTGTCGGTGCACATTAAAGAGTACTCTTCCCCAAGGGTTGTGCACTTTGAGGCCCATGTATCATCCCAAAGGAAGGGTCGAAAGGGAAACCTTGGACGGGACCAATCGCGTCTCATATTGAAGTTGAACTGTTCAAAGCATCAAGAGCGTTTTGACGCCCTTGATTCCCGGAACTTGGGAGAACCTTAAGAAAGTCCTTTGAATGTCTGATATCTGTTTGCTGTTTCCAAGCGCTGATCGTATATCTGCCTACTTTAAGCTCACCCCGCGCTTGTGACGTTTCCAAGGGTTGCAGTTTGGTAGACAATCCTTTACTTTGCCGGTTCTCAAACCAAAAACCCGGCTGCGCACTGCGTACGCCTTGTGCGCACTAGGAGTGGAGGTTGCCATCTCCTTGTCGCCTTTTGTGCTGGTACGAAACTGCAAGTTTCAGACCGGTGGTGGCCTCAGCTGGCCTGCCGAAGGGCTTTCCGAAGGGTTCGCCGGCCACTTCGCTGCATTCTGCGAAGTGGGTGTGGCTCAAAACTAAAGTTACGCAATTGGTTATTCTTTGGTTCCATTTACCGGTACATGTTTTTGAGCCACAGTGCCCAGTGGCTCAGTGATTGTGCATGGTCTTTTTGAGGATCGCCTCCGTGGGGTTGGCGCTTCAAGGGAAACCAAAAGACAAAGCGAAAGGCAAACCGAAATCCAGTTTGGGGCTCCAAAAAAGACGAACCAGCCAAATGCAGTTCGGGAATCCGAGGCGGGAGCTTGACCAAGCAGGGCACCGCAGGTGTTACCTAAATACCAGGATTCCATCTACAAAATACCAATCCAGTTTTATTTTTCTTTACCTAAACACCATGTTTGTGTCCATTTACCAGGATTCCAGCTTTACACCTGCATCCCCGCTTATGGCAGGTTGATGTTCTTCTCTCGTTCAATCCAAGGTTACAACGCAACTTTGACGGCGCTGGCCTAAGACAAGTCAGCTCTGTTTGCTTTGGTGTGGATGCAGGAGACGAGAATGCTGCCCACAACAAGGGTAATGCCCATATATTTGTGGCGCTTCGGCAAAGGTTGATCTGAGCCAAGGATGTTAAGATCTTCAAGATCTCCTTGTTTGCGCTCCTTGGCTTACCAAGTGAGCAGCGCCCAAATTGATGTTGTCGGGCGCTTCTAGTGCCTGGTTTCTACTTTGGATTGCATAAAGGGCCTTATAAACCATTGGCTTTGGGCACTCAATTCGGGAGATACTGGCTATACGATGCTCGCTCGCTGGGCACATCTCTCGATGGTGAAGCGCAACCAATGAGAAGCGACCAAATCCTCTGGCAGTTCCACCCATTTGAAAGCGGGGAGTATGAAGAAAAAACAAAAGCTAAAGGTCAGTCGATTTGGAGAATGTGGACAAAATAGGGGGACCTCAAAGGGGGGGGGGGGTTCCCCTTTTCATTTGGCTGTCACCCTGGTAAGTAGAACATAGACTAAAACCTGCGGTCCAATTCCTGGTTTCATTTTGACCCATCCCCATTTCCCTTTCGACCAGGCACAGCGCATGCTACTACTTCGGTGTCCGCAGCAAAGATGAGCGCTGGGCAGAGGAGGAGCGCAGCCGCTGGGTGCTGGACGTGTCGCGCGCGGTGCGCTTGGCCGCCCGGCTGAAACGGACATTTCCTGGAACTCCGCAGCCCCGCTTGCGGCTTTGCTTGCGACTATGAGTTGTTACATGGCTGTGGTGGTCAAAACCGTTTTGGGATCCCATTTTGCGGTAGATGAAATCACCACCCATTTTAGAACCTATTGTAGTGGTTAGATTGGGTCCCGTTCACTGGGGGTACGGGCTTTTGATTTTGACCCATGGCCACATGGTGAGCAACCATTGTTCATGAACATCTTTGGGTCCAACATTGCTCCCCTGGTTGCTTCCCAGTGTTTGTATATGGCAAATGAGAAATATTCAGCCCACGAGCCGGGTTTCCTTGAGGTGACGCAGAGCCTTTTCCCGCCGTTTCACATCAGCTGCGAGCCACTGAAGAGGCAGAAGGCGCCCGAAACCGCCGCGGCCGGCAAACCTCACACCTCCTAACCCGCCCCCCCCCCCCCCCCCGAATTTGGCGCTGCGTGCGGCGAACCGCACAGACTGCTTGGAACCGCCCGGGATTTGTCAGTCCCCTCGAGTCGCCATCTTGTTTTAGACGGATGAGTGATTCTAGGTGTCCTTTTTTAGGTTTGTTTGGTTAAAAGAAGATGGAATCCACTGGTTTAGATGGGTGTTGATTCCATTTACCAGGGCCGTCTATTTTCCACAAGGCCACCTATGTGAGTGAAACGCCATGAGATGTTCTCTTCATGAATGGAATTTGTGTTGACTGTTGAGTTCATCGGGAGGCCAAGGCGGTTTAGAGGGAGTTGCTTTGGCTCAGGAGCATCCTCAAGAAGGGACAGCGCTCTCTATCTAAATGATGTCCAGCAAAGGGTGCCTCAACTACATACGCGTTTGACAGATGGCAGATGGGGGCGTTCGAGGAACCTCCAAATGGCCATGGGTCAAAACCCCGTACCCCCAGTGAGCATCCCAATCCAACCACTAAAAAAAGACTAAGATGAGTGGTGCACCTATCTCAAAATGGTACCATTGGTTTTGTGGCTCGTCTTCTTTTTGGTTGGTACCCTTTTCTTTGGCGCATTTTGCCAAGGGATGTTAGGACTTTGACCTTTTTTGCCAGCTAGTGGGTTTTCCCTGCGCAGTTTCCCCTGCTCCAGCGAGCACTTTCCATGCGCAGGGGGCCTCTGCGACGAAGCGGCGCTTGATGGCAGGCTACGTGGTCCATCACGAAGATGTGCCTCGATGGGAGGTCGAGTCCAAAGGATTTTCCCGCTGTGTGTTTTGGTGTTTGTGAGGGTTCCCTGTTTGGGGTTCAGTTTTTCTGTTTTTGTGAGGGTTCCCTGTTTGGGGTGGTTTAGAGGGGTTCCCTTGTTTTTTTGTTGGTGTTTGTGAGGGGTCCCTGTTTGGGGGTGGTTTTTTTTTACAGAGGTTCCAACACTCACTTGTTCAACGCCGACCTGAGATGACCTCTTGGTTTTCCTGTGTTGGTGTTTTCTTTGTTCTGGGGCCAGAAGCTTAACCTTTTATTTCCAGGTCCTGGCAACTGAGAACATGAAAGCAGTTTGGAGGTATGCCATTCAGAGGGAGTTTTGCACCGCGTTGCAGGTCGAAGCCGCGGTGCATTTTGTTTAACTTCAGCACCTTCGGATGTTGACCCGACTTCTATGCTTGGTATTCAGTGGCTGACTTGCTAAGCAACCGAAAGCAGACCTCTTCAGCTGTCTTCTGGGGCGCGGCAACATTGACTAATGGTCTCAGCCAGTCCAGGCAACAGTTTGATTGCGTCGGAAGCTTCTTTCGCGGGCAGCCCAGGTTCGATGTCCAAGTTGTCACGTGTGCAACTGCACACGTTCTGAAGATGTGGCTGTGGGTCAAAACCAGTGGGATCCCATTTTCGGGTAGGTGAATTCACCACCCATTTTAGTCGATTTTAGTGGTTGGATTGGAATGTTCACTGGGGGTCGGGCTTTTGACCCATGGCCATGTAGACCAATCCCTCGTGACTTCACGATGATGACCAACGAGCTGAGAGGGCATGCAAGTGAACGCGCGTAACCAGGTGAGTGAGGGGAAGAGCATTTGCACACCCGAACGCACACACAAACGCGCACACAGGCATGCGCACAAAAACAAAAAAACAAAAAAAAAAAACACCACCGCGACTGCTGGGGTTGAAGCGTGGGCAGCGGGATGGAGCGTGTTCATGGAAGAACCGTGGAGTTTGCAATATGGGTGTGGTTGGCCAAATGGGGTGTAACCCCCCAAAATGGCTTGCACGAGCGGTGGAAATTTTAAACATGGCCTAAAAAAGTCCTGCGGTCGAGCGGTGCCAGCAACTTCCAACGCCTTGATATTTTTTTTGGCCCAGGTTTCCACAGCCTCGGTGGTGTACCTGGAGCTGCAAGCGCACAAGGAGGGCTTTGCAAAGGTGGTGCTCTACGAGAATGACCTGTGCGAGGCGAGCCAGTCCGCGCCAGCTCCATTTGTGTGGTTAAAATACCTTTTGATGGTCCTTCACTCTTGGCTTCATCTGTGCCATGGTTCGAACACCTTTTGATTTTTTCGGGGTTGTGGTTCAGGATCGTGGGCTCCCCCCCTCAATAGGGCACCTTGAGAATGGTAAGGATTTATCAGGGGAAACGTGAACATGGCCCACCGTAGCGCATTGGAGGATGACTCGTGAAGTTGAGCAAGCCGAGGCGTTCAAGATGTGCAGCTCTACCCTTTTCCAGACTACTGGGATCAGCCCTTTTTAAGGTTACAGGCTGACGTTTAAGCCTTCAATTCTGTCGGATCAGACCGGAATGAGAGTAGATGAATTGTGCCATTTATCGCCTCGCTGTGCCATCTATCACCTCACTGTAGGTGCAGGGGTTTGGTGACTCGTGTTGGTTTCCGTTGGGTTTTGAGCTGTGCGTTTCTTGCTGGTGGGAATGAACCCAGGGATTCCCCTAAAGGAAACCACAAGGGATGGCGTACTAGGGTCAATCCCTACTGAGCACCAGCAAGTTTTCTCTCGAGGGCGTCCTGGCAGAGATTGCGGTGCACGAGAACGCTATGTGCTCGGAGAAGATTGGCATCAACTGCAGCTGCTTCAGTGTCGAGGACGAACACGTCGGGGCCATGTCTTGTTTGATGGTTTCCCCCGTTGGTGCATGTGAACTCGAAAAGTTGGTGCAGTTTCCCTGGTTTCAACTTTGAGCACAACCCCTTGGAAGTCCTTTGCAAATTGCCGGCGAACACGCTGAAGGCACGGGCGAAAAGCACACGTTTCAGCCTGTGGATTTTTTTCGATCCTTGCGCCGTGTGAGCCCAGAAAGCCACAGCAGTTCCTTGGCATCTTTGCAAAGGGCCCAAAGTATTTGTTTGAGGGTTCTCCAAATTACGGCGGCTTCTCTTCAAGCCGTCTGTTTTGGGATGTTTTGACGGACCAAACGATTAGAAAGGTGGTGTGTTGTGCGCCGTGCGATGCAGGTCAGGTGCAGGCACTGGTTCAAATCATCTGCCCAAGATCACAAGGGTGTATTCCCTCCAAAAAAGGGTGGTTTTCCGTTTGGTGTCCGTTTAACGCCAACCAACAAAGGGGCACCCTCAAAAGCAGACACACCCACAGCTGTATCTTTTGCTGGATCTTTGTGGCTCAGTGTGCCGAAGGAACTGCCGCCATCCGAAACCATGTTTTGGTTCCGCATGGTGTCATTGACCAAGCTTGGAGCCCCAAAAAGGTTTCTGAAGTTCCTTTCAGCACCTATCTTCGGGTCTCGTGGTCGCAAGCGATCGGATTGAGTTGGGACGTCTGTTTCATGTCCAAGGGGGCTGCGCCAGCGTGGACGGCCGCCTTCCCCCTGCTCGTAAGCTTTCTTGGTGTGTGTGTGTGTGTGAGAAACTTAATTACGGGTCCCCTAGAATAATCAGCTTCCTTCTGGTTTCCCAAAAGCGTTTTTCAGAAGGGCCGATCCCCCGTTGGTCGCGTAGTGGGTCGGCGGAGGATCACCAATTCTCCACACGGAGCCTGGCAGAGAGGAAGCTCTGGCTGCGGGCCGCGGGCCAAGAGGCTTCGTTTTTGGACCGTGGCAGGGGTTCTTCCATGGTAGGAAGCTTGGATGTTAGGACTTTGACTTTTGCCAACTCATGGGTTTTCCATTAAACCGCTAAAAGCTAAGCTTTTATGTATAATGTTTGAGCGGAATCCGCGATTTGATCAAGGCATTGACTCCAAGTCTCGAGCAACAGGTTTGTGGAGCGGAATCCGCGGGATCGGGGGTGCAATGCTTGGGAATGTTGTTGCTTGTGGTTTGTGTCAGCGGTCCTTGGACAGACTCTGTAAATGATTTCCGGAAGTTCCGGGTAGCATCTGCTGGAATACCCATTGATTCTCGTCATGTTGCAGGTGTTTGTGGCTGTCATATTCTGTAGCTGTGAGTGATTTGCTTTGCGCTGCCCATACATTGCAAAAGCGTGTTCACGCTTACAGAGACAAGCAAGAACGCCCTGCACATCAAGTTGTTCGAGACTTGAGCTTGGCTTTGTTCAGCATGGGTGACAGTCCAACGAGCGCCGCTGTTGTATCGCAAATCATTGCTCCGTGTTTGACCTAGTATTCCGGAGCAATCAGTTCTTGCAATTTCACCACCCTTTACTACCCGGAGAATTCCTGGATTGCCCGTGAGTGTGCGTGGCCTTTCTTGTGCCCAAGCAATTATGACATGCGCTTTCGCGCTGGCTTCATCAATGCGTTGTTGCTTTCGCTGCTTCTCAAGTTCGAGCACGTTTTTGGGAGAGGTTCATGAAAAATCGGGGGCCCCGAATGCACAAAACAAGACACTCCCATAGCAAAAATTGCTGCTTGAGGCCATCTCCAATGTGCGGGCCGGGGGCCACAGTTGAGTCCAATGGGCTGGTGAATCTGAGCACCGTCAAAGCCGTGAAGACTCGGCGCGCAACGCGTGCGCAACGGGTTGCAAGAGCCAGGGGACATGAGACGCAATTTCCATGCCGGGTGCGTGGCCTCCAACAGAAATTCAGAACAGGCATAGTTTGATGGCGAAGAAGATGTAGAATGCGAGTTGCATCCAGATTCCGCCGCCACGACATCCGATATCTTTTTGAAAAAGAGGGGGAAGAAGGGGTAACCACGAAATGGAAGATGCAGTTGCCGTGAACTGTTCACATTGCATTCTTCTGAATCCTATCTTGTGGAAAAGACAATGATATGTGGAAAGGACAATGATTGATATGTTCGGCAAGCTAAGCATGGGCGTTACAACAGCCCCTGTTGTAGACCTGTCGATGAAAGTCTTTTGGCAGAGTGAAGCCGAGTGAATGTGTGAAGGTGTAAGATTGCAGGGGTTCCGCCCGGAAACTAGACGCGGCTCAGGTGAAGTTGCAGAATGGTGCGCCAGATCCTTCTGAGGAGACTGGATATCTCGCGGACAGCTCTGTTTGATTCAGCTGCTTGCGAAAGCTTCAAGCTCACTACTTGCGCATCAAGCACGCGCAAGTGCCCAGCTTTCCATCAGGGAGTGTGCGGAAGGTCTGCCGCTCTCCTGGCACACCGGCCGTCGCCCGTGACATCTGCGAAGCTCCACATCAAGATGGCCAGTCAGCGAAAAAAAGCTAAAATAAAAATGCGAAGGTGGAGCATTCTTCGTCTTGAAGGTTTCTTTCCGGAGCTGCCAAGGCAGACCAAGAACTGGGCTTCTCTATTGAGAGGGCTGGATATCCTTGCAACAGAAACTGGTGCCCGAAACTAAAGCATCCGCCATGAAAGCATTGAAGTCAAGGCGAGAAAGCGTCGGTCCTGCACTCCAAAGGGCCAGTTGTCAAGTAGAGCTCAGAAGAAAAAGAGGGAGGGCGTAGAGTCGAAGCCCAGGGATTGTTTCCAAATGGGGGGCATCCCCTTTGTTTTCTCGAACTAACTCGGAAAAAAAGCACCCTTGAAAATTGCGCGCACTTAAATGAGATGTGGAGTAGTCTAGAAAGAGCCCAATTTTTAAAACCAAACCCATTTCAAGATAGCCCAAAGCAAACGTCATGATGGGAGGTCTTTCACGGCTAGACCGGAACCCAATGCTCGGTTTTCCGAAAAGTGAGCCGCCAGGAGGAGCTTGCAAGCTTCCGGGCATCCATCAAGGAGGGGTTCGAGTGTCTCAAGATGTGGCTCGTGTTCTTTTTGGTTGGCACCCTTTTCTTTGGTGCATTTTGCCAAGGGATGTTAGGACTTTGACATTTTTTGCCAGCTAATGGGCTTTCCGTATTAAACCACTAAAAGTTAAACTTTGAGCAGGGGAGCAGAAAGCAACCGAGTTTTGGTGAAGTTGTCTTACGCGGAGACGAAAAGGTGAGACAGAGCCAACTGGACTCCTTGAATAGGACCCCACACAGGGTTTTGGAGACCTTGATGAGTCGCCCCTTGAGCAAAAGGTGCTACAAAAAGGAGACCAGCTTGGGCCGGTGAAGTTGTCACCCAAATACATGCCAGCTGATGTAGATGATTTTCTTGTAAAGCAGCTGGTGTTGGGATGTATTATCAAAGGAAGTTTAGTTAGAAAACTTCCGTAATACGAAAAGTAGAGTTAGACATGCGCAACACGCGAAGGGTACCCCTGTTCAGCGTACGGGTTCGCGACGGTTTCGGAACTGTAATGCTCGCAGACGTGTTCGGAGGTCTATTTTGCGTGGCAGGCACAGCACTTTGGCAACCTGAGGTGCAGATTTCGTGGCAGGCGCAGCATTTTGTGCCCGTGCAAGGTCAAGTACAGATTTCGCGGCAGCATTTTCGCAAGGTCGGGTACAGATTTCGTGGCAGGCGCAGCACTTTCGCAAGGTGAGGTGATAGATAGATAGATAGAAAGATAGATGGATAGATGTAGCTCAGCAAGGTCGAGTGCATATTTTGTGGCAGGTGCAGCACTTTCGTAAGGTCGAGTACAGGTTTCGTGGCAGGCGCAGCACTTTCGCAAGGTCAAGCACAGATTTCGTGGCAGGGCAGCACTTTCGCAAGGTCAAGTACAGATTTCCTGGCAGGCGCAGCACTCTCGCAAGGTCAAGTATAGATTTCGTAGCAGGCACAGAACTTTCGCAAGGTCAAGTACAGATTTAGTGGCAGGCGCAGCACTTTCGCAAGATAGATAGATAGATAGATCAAATGGAAAGAGAAAGAGAAAGATAGAGAGATAGAGAAAGAAAGCAAGAAAGGAGGAAAGAAAGAAAGAAATCAAGAAAGACAGAAATGAAGAAAAAAAGCAAAAGAAAGAAATCAGGAAAAAAGGAAAGAAATAAAGAAAGAACGAAATAAAGAAAGAAATAAAGAAAAAAAGAAAAAAAGAAATGAGAAAGAAAGAGAGAGAGAGAGAGAGAAAGAGAAAGAGAAAGAGAGAGAGAGAGGGAGAGAAAGAGAAAGAGAAATAAAAAGAAAGAAAAAAAGAAAGAAAGAAAGAAAGAAAGAAAGAAAGAAAGAAAGAAGTAACAAGAAAGAGAAATAAAAAGAAATAAAGAGATAGATAAAGAAAGGAAAGAACAAGAAAAAAAGCAAGACAGAAAGAAAAGAAAGAAAGAAAGAAAGAATAAATAAAGAGAAAGAGAAAGAAAAAGAAATAGAGAAATAGAGAAAGAAAGACAAGAAAAGAAAGAAAGCAAGAAAGAAAGAAAGAAACACGGAAAGAAAGAAAGAAAGAAAGAAAGAAAGAAAGAAAGAAAGAAAAGAAAGAGACAAAGAAAGAGCGCAACAAAAGAAAAACAAGCCAAGCTCTTCCTATAGGCACTCTTCTCGCTTTAGAAACTTCCGTCCACCGGCTTCGCCGGCTCTACTGGTAGCAGGAAGCCTGATTTGGTTTGGGATTTTTTTGAAGGGAACCAAAAAAAACGAGCACGCGTTTTAGGGCGGCTCAAGCATCTGGCGCAGCAATGGTTTTGGCAACTCGGACACAAAACCAACACAACCACACACACAAACAAACAAACAAACACACACACACACACAGAGACACAGAGAGAGACACACAGAGACACACAGAGACACACAGACACACACACACAAACAAACAAACAAACAAACAAACACACAGACGCCTGCCCGCAAACCCCGCACGCATTCGCTCGCACCCACGCACGCAAACCTTTCTCCGACCCAAATTCAAGAAGCGATTTGGAATCAGCTGGCTTTGAGCCCAACAAGCAGGAGCACCCGCATCCCATTGTCATGGGCCATGTTTGACGTCCTTTCAACAGCTTTGAAAGTCCTCGATTTCTCAGCTTCTGTTCTGAGAGGGAGCTACTCAGCTTCAATTGAGCATGCGTCCAATGCGAAACCAGAGCCATCCTTGGCCAGGTGGCCAGGGGCAAGAGCTTGGCACCAGTTTGGGTTGCTAACCCAGCTTTTTGGAAGACGTGTCGCCAGGTATGAAGTATGTGTGTGTGTGTGTCTTTTGAGGGACCCTCAAAATGGTGGGTTGTTTCTTTTGGTTTCCCTTTGAAACCACAAAAAGACATGCGGTACTCTCAAAAACGACAGACGCAAGTGCTTTCACAGGACCACCTCCTCAGCATCCGAGCAGCCATTGAAGGTCCAGGCGCACCACTGCAGCAAATCAGTGCGGTCGCACACCGAACGTTCTGAAAGTCCGTTTCGAATTCACCAAATGGTTTACGTGCAAGTAGCCGCAGGTTTCATCGAGGCCTCCGCCCCGGGGTTGGGTGTCGGGGAGAGTTGTGCGTAGCGATGTTGCCTTTCCTGGCGGACGGAGCAGGCAGCCGGAGTTCTCTTCCGCTTGTTCTTCGGGATATTTGCTCCATGGCAGTGACTTGGGGGCCGTGGCCGAGGCCAACGGCAGCCTTCCGAAGCCCAGGATCCAGGCCATCCAGGGGTTCGAGCGGCCTAGACACGCGCGCGCGCGGGTTCCGTTGAGTGACCCAGGTCTGCCCTATCTGATTTGATGTGGAGCTCTCCAATCCCTGCCTCACTGCGACGTTTGGCAAGCGTCATGCTGACTTATACGGTCAATCTTGCCAAGCAACTAGCTCCAGTTGCCTTGTCCCTGGTTTTCTGTTGAAGATTGATTGGCACAGGAGTGGTGTATGTGTGTGTGTGTGGGTGTGTGTCTTTTTCACTGACAAAGGGTACCCTTTTTGTGATCGTTCAAAGCGAAACCGAATGGAAAGCGGCCGTGCAGATGATGGACCCTTTGCTGCAACGGTGCCATCCGCCCGGGCCCAAGCCTTCAGTTCTTTGAAGTTGGCATGGTTTCTTTTGAAGTGGTTCAAAGGGCAGCCCGCAGGAATCCAACCATTTGGTACTTTTCGTTTTTTGATTTTAAGGGAAACAAGAAGGACTGGACTTTCTTTCTTTTTTTTGGGGGGGAAGTTCTTTTTGCTCCACCCTAGATTGAGACTCAGCTTTGCTTGCTCTCAACTCAGCGTTCGTAATTCTGCGACCTACGCGGTCGGTCATCAGTACCATGAATTTACCTGGCCGCAGCCCCTGCGAATTTCAGCACCAGAGACCAGCGAGGCAGTCGCCAGCTATGCAAAAGCACCGACATACCTCGAGTCTCGCAAATCCAGTTCTCATACACCAATTCCAGACTTGTGTCATGTGACGCCGAGATGAAGCTGGACCAGAACAAAGCCGGCATGTCCTTGCAGGATCCTCCCATAAGTGGGTGAAGCCTTCAGCAAGAGTGTACGATGCCGGACCACAGTGCTGCAAACCAGTGGCATCACTGTGTGTTGTCCATCAGCTCGGAATGCATTTTCCATGACGCCCTCATGATTCCCTAGTGGCCGACATGTTTGCAAGTCAGCATGGGCTGAGGCGGCGGCCTCCGCCCAGTTGCCGAGCTACGCGCTCCGCTGAGACAGCGGCAAATCGTGTTGCTGAGTGTTTTTGTCAGCCGGTTCGGAAGGGCGATATGTTGCAACCACCGTCACTTACATGTACTCGTATCTCAACATTATTCAAGGAGCCTAAATATGGAGCCATTGTTTGGCACCGGTCGACGGTGCGCAAGGCTTTTGTTTGCCTGTCGTAATGGCTTTTGAACCGCGTCACTGCCCTCCAACCTAAGGAGTGTAACTGCCGTCACAGCTTGCCCAGAACCAGGCCCGGCGTTTTTCAAAAGCTGCGTTTTTCAAAAGCTGTGCATGTGTTGTACCTTGATAGCCAAGTCTAAGTGCCATTAAGCATACGTGTCAATATCCCACATTAAATGTATGTGTGCAATTGTTCTTGTCTTTTTGCGGGCATTGATCGTGTTTTGCTTTATACAAAGTTGACACTTAAATGATTGTTTAATGTTGGTAATTGTGAAAACCAATGTCAGGAAAAAATGAACATAAAGCATTTGGCGATCTGTTTGGTAATGGCTACTTTTCGGAAATAGACTAATTTATTCTGTCTTTGTGTTGTAAATATCAACTTAATAAGACGGCTAGTTGTCGATGTTGGTCTAAAACCAGCACCGAAAGAGGCCCTCAAGTGAGATCGCTGAATTTGTATGTGTGTGTGTGTGTGTTTGTAGGTGTGGGTGGTCGGATGCCAAACTGGTAAGGGTGTTTGAGCCCGTGTCCCTGCCAGGCACAAAGAGCACTGACCCGGCAAATGCGGCGCCAGACAATGGGAGGCAAGACTTGCGAAAGTGTCAGCTGTCTCGTTCAGAAGCAACATTTGATACATCCTGCGCTCAAAAAGGGATGCCGCTTTTTTGGCGCCGGCAACCCCTCGGCGCAGAGAAGCGCGCTTAGTGCGTGCGCTGAAAAGATCTTCTCGAGTCCAACCACGGTTTGCGGTAGGCTACCCGAGCTCCAAGCTATACAGCCGGAGGGCCCAAGGCGGAAATGGCCGGCGAATCGGAGGCCTTTGGTTGGGTGAGACGATATGAGCAGCATCGTGTGAGACTCGGGGGGGCAATGGGCTTCTCAGCTGAACGGGATTCGTCAGGAAATCTGAATGGGAGAGGCAGTCGTTCTTGAAGGCTTGCCTCATGTCAAATAGCCAAGTGAAGTTGCCTATTTCACTTAGCTCAGGAGTCAGCGCCTTGCCTGTTTGACTACATGTTGCGTCGAGGTGCCGTTCACTAATTGTGTTTTTGTGAGAGTGTTGGACATGCCGCACTTAAATCGCAGCTAGATTCTGGCATTGTTAAACCCACCCAGGCAAGATGTCAGCAGAGGTCCAACCTTCTACCTTTGTGCCAATTCAAGCTCAGAGATTGGTTCCCACACTTCCATCAAGCCAGCCTGTGTATAACGTATATTGAATCAGCTGCAAGTTTGGCAACCATGCGAAGTTGGAACAAAAATCAACACATGTCTTACGGACCTCGGACATGTACCTGCAGCCCGAGGCGTGAAATGAAACGTACTTTATGGTCGCGACAAGGGCTGAAACAAGTCAACAAGTCGCATGCAACTCAATGACTCAACAAGCCGCGTCAATCCCGGATTAATCAATCTGGTGGATATTTGCAAGTGAGACACCACCATTATTATAAATACTAACGATTAAATAGTGTAGAATCAACCCCTATCAATCATATGTTCCAACTATTCATCATATGAATCAACCAATATCTATGAACTAACCACCTATGCATCATTCATTAGTCAACCCCATTCGTATCTATGAATCAACTAGTACTCATTACAAATCAAACCTGTGCATATCTATGAAACTGCTAATCATTCTTAAGTAACCCTACTGTGGATGGACGAAATCCTGCACCACCCAAGAAACCCTGAAATGATGATTCCCTTGCAAATACCAACAAGCAATGGCTTCCCATTGTTACAAAGTGGTGCCGTATTAGTCGATTCGTATCTCTTGGGTTCATTCATTCTGTGGATGTGAGGCTTGAGCTGAAGCCCATGCCGCGCGCCACAGCAAGGCAAGAGCTGGGGGTGGACTGTGCACTTTTTCCTGTCAAAGTTGGGGACGCCCGAAAAGGTTGTGTGGTTTCAGTCAAAAAGGCATGTCTTTCTTTTCCAGTCAGAAAGGTTGGTTTTCCCTGCAACTTGCACTCTTTTCCAGACAGAAAAACTGGAGAAATGCGCGCTGCCAGGCCGCAGGATCCGGAAATGGTTCCGAAACCAGGCGTGGTTCGGGAGAGACTCTGAGGTTGGAGGTCCAGTTCGGTGCAAGGCACTGGTCAGGACTGATCCACTTGCAGTGGAAGCTTGGTTTTTTCAGCATGCCTAGCAGGATCAATGCTAGAGTGGGTTTCTTGCTACAAAATTGATTGCTGCACAATGGCCGTGACATGTTCCACTGACATCTCTTGGGTCCGTGGCTTATGCCTGAGACTGCCGGTGCCAGGCGAAGGATGATGTCGCCACGTTGCCTGATTGGTGCTGTGGGCCAAATTTGGGCGAGTGGATTTCGGCGGAAGGGAATGCGATCTTGCCCAAACTGCGCATGATGCTCTTTGAGCCGCTTGTCAACCGGCGCCAGGTGGCAAGTGAAGTTTCACCACGCGGCTGTTGCAAAGAAGATAGCCCTGTCAGGCGGGAATCGCAGTGTCGCGCAACACTGACCGTTCCGCTGCATTTGAACCAGGCTCTCATGCTCCCCCCAAGTCTCACGGGGAAGGGCTGCTAAGACTGCAGCCAGTACACTAAGCTTCAATGCAGAAGTGGACGCCAGGCGAGAAAAGAGAAGCATAGAGTGAAACAGAGACAGGAGTACGTGTGGGGCGGCCATGTGACGTTTTGTTGAACTGTGCAAGTTGCGTTCAGTCCCCTCCAAAAGCTGTTTTAACTAACAGCAAACAAGTCATCGAATGCCGTGAACTCATCGCATGCAGAGCAAAGATCCTATGCTATAGCCTGCCGCAGGTTGACTTGCTCAATTGCTCAGTAGCACCCTTTGCGACAGTAGATCTTTTGGTGAGCATGATGCGGCGTTTCAGTTTGCTTGTTGTGGGCGCCGGGAAGCTCAGCACGGTTGGTGCGTTCTGCGGTTGGTTGGTGTTGTTTCGTTTTTGGCTGAGTGGCTCTTAGAATTGGCCCCCGGAAAAACGCCCTTCAAAGCGAAGAAAACTGACTATCAGAGGCTGGGCGAGGCAACTTCCGCTCAGATCAAGAGTTTGCAGCTTGGGAACACAGACTCGGGGTTTTCCGGTTGAGTATCTAGTTCGAGTATCTAGTTCGGGTCTAGGCCCTGCAGGGAAACACGAGCTGAACGAAGAAAGAAATGTGGGACCCATGTGTTTTTCTTCAGATAGCTGAAAGCGTTCAGGGGTTCTTGCTTCTGAAGAGGGGCAGGCTGTTTTGCGAGTTCGGGCCAGGTTGGTGCTGCAGGTGCTGGTCAGGGTGCTGTTTGGGGTAAAGTGCTGTGGTGGTTGCTGGCAGTGCCTTTTTTGCAATGTTTGGTGTGCTCCAGGTAGTGTGGTGATTGCTAGCCGCAGTGCTTGTTTTGCGACGCAGCCAGCGTGCTGGTCAAGGTGTTGTTTGGTGTGCTCAAGGTGTGCGGTTGCAGTTGCTGGTGGTCCTTGTGGGTGCCGTGTTGTATCCCCTGCTACCTGGGGTTCATGCCGGTGTAATTTCTTGGGAGTGTGTGGTTCCATTTGCGCTAGCTTCCCCATCCATCTTTGTGGGGTCAGTGACTTCTCGGAAAGTTCTTGCGGTTTGCTCACATGCCATGCGACGCAACCCCCAGCCCCAAACAGAAGTCGACCCGTGCCGAGGCCTCAGCGGCCACCGACATGACCTCTTTGATGCCTGACTGTGCTCAAGTGGGCGTGGGCTTCTCCCAAGACTCGGCAACTCGACCGTTTTGTTTTTTTTTGAGACGTCCGACTCGCGCGCGCGCGCGCGGCCGGACGTCATGTTGGCTTTGGAGGCAAAGGAAGGTGCGACTTCAGACATTGCTGGGCTGAAACTTGTATTCGCTAAGTGGACAAGCAAGGTAGAGGCAAGATGCCTTGTCAAGAGGATTCTCTTCCAAACCCCTCTCAGCTTCCATTATTCGACAAATGGCATACGTATAGAGAATAGCTTCCTGCAATATATTCCTGCACATCATGACGTCAGCTTACATGATTGGAAAAACGTAAAATGACATCGAGTGGTTTTCCCTTTTTTTTCTGCAAAGGCTGGGAAGGGCTGGTCTGTGAGACTTCCAAGGACACGGTGTCCACCGTCCCGAACGCAGCATACCTCTTGAATGCGCAGAGTTGCCAAGCGGCCTGTGCGGCGTCTCTCGACAAGGTTTCAGCTCGAGCAGTTAGTGTAAAGGGCGGCGTTGCATTCGTCAGTGGAAACCATCCGAGAGCAGAAGTTTGATTGTTCCCTTGAATTCCACGTGGCATAGATATTGTCTTCAAGTACCCAAAATGGGTCCTTGCCTGGTTCGTGTCCCTTGAAACCAACCCCGAAAAGGGCCACCTCCAAAAATGTGCCACCCACCTGCTTGCACCACAGAACATCGTCGCCAAAAAGGCCCTGCGTTTGAAACCAGAGCTCAGGAGCCCCACGTGCAAGAAGTTCACCTGGAAGCGTGACACTGAGCCCCAAGGACGCCGGCGCCGGTGCCAGAGCATTGCCAGAGCAAAGCGCCCAAAACCCTTGGTCAAGTTAGGTGGCTCTGGCCAAGTCTTTTGTTTGTAGACAGAAGTAGGTTTCGTTTGTGTGCATGTGTGGTGTAGGGGGGAACTGTGTGTGTGTGTCTAAGTGTTTGTGTGTGTGTGTGTGGGTGTTTGTTTGTATTGGTATTTGTGTGGTTGTGTTTGTGTGTCGTTTCCACTTTCATGGGCTTTTGCATCACCCCCTCCCCGTCCTTAGGGTTGAACAAAGCCAGAAGGAGGTTGGCAATTGTTTAAACGGACATGCATTTTTGAAATGGGCCCAGAGTTGGAAGATGCTGAAAAGTCTTTGTTCTTGCCCTGGACCTCAGGTTTCCAGCACGGCACGACATGAGCATCCATGCCAAAGGCACCCTGCTCCCAGTCGTTCTTGTTAGCTGAAGGATGTGATTAAAGCCACGCACACTCTCAGGTAGCCCTTAGTTGGTGGTTGGATTGGTGGTTTGGGGCCCTGGCTTTGTAGAGGGTAAATCGAAGCCCCAACTCAACCATCCAAACAAAGCTGACAGAGTACTTGGGGATCGGGTGGCCTGTCCTATGGCCTGTCAGTTTTGAGCTCACTGCTCCCTGTCTAGGAAGTCTACCGGGAGAGCCGCAACGTCAACTTATCCAATAAAACCTTTTGCATTCTTGGAGGTAGTGATCCAGATCCCCACAGAAGAGGGACACTGTGAATCAACCAGCGGTCCCCCCCCCCCGGCCGGCCACCCCCACCCACCACCCACCCCCATTAATCCTGGGTTCGCCTTAAGGGTTTGGCCTCCCCCCAAGTCTGACACCCCCACCCACCACCCCCACACACCCCCACCCACCGCCCACCCACCCGTGAATCCCGGCTTCGCCTGAAGGGTCTGGCCGCAGTGCTTCCAGAACCGGCCAGGAGGCTGCTGGTTGTTGGACAACCCCTTTGCTAAGGCGAACCCCGACTCTGCGGCCATCAGCGGGCCCAAGGCGAAGCGAGATCCAACGAAACGAGGTCAACACCAAGCCGTTTGGGGGGGCCTCGTCTTTTTTGTGTGGCTACCCCTCTTTTTGTGTGTTGTTTGAAGGAAAAACTAAATGGAAGCCACCTCCTTCCTTTTTTTTTGGGGGGGGGGGCCTAAAGAAAGACACGCCCATTTGTTGAGAACTGGATGTCAACACACTGCTTTTTCTTTCTCCCATTGTTTCAAACCACCGGCGTCGGTATTTCTGGCACTGAAGCTCTGGGAAGCTCGAGGAACCCGACCAAATCTCCCGGAGGTATGTGGCGAAGCCGGCGCAGCGGCCGCGGACGAGCCCCTGTCATGTTTCAGCCCGCGGGTGTCCAAGGAACTGGCCATGGCTCAAAATCATCGGTTAGCATCCAGTGAACATCCCAATCCAACCACTAAAATAGGTTCCAAAAGAGCCAAGAAGCGCTACCCCAAAATGGTACCATTGGTTTTGACACACAGACAACTGTGACCACTCATGCACTGGTCTCGGTTTCTGCAAGTGAGGACGGCCAACGATAGTACCATCTCGCAGCGTTGCGAGATGGATTAGCAGATGGTTCGAGGTGAAAACAAGACGGAGGGGTATTTTTTTTGGATGCTGTTTCTCGGTTGTTTTTTCTTGTTTATTTTTTGTTCTTCGCTTTTGGCTTCTTGCCGTTTGGCTTCTTACCGTTTGGCTTCTTGGCATTTGGCTTCTTGCTCGACTTGGTTTGCTTTTTGGCTTCTTGTCAGCTTTTGGTGGCTTTTTTGGCTTTGGCTTTTCGCACTCTCCGGCAGGTGGCTTTTTGGCTTTTGCAGCTTTTCGTTGGTATATGCGGCTTTAGGTTGCTTTGGTGGCTTTGGCTTTCGCATCCTTTGCTTTCCCAGTTCCTCTCTGGCAGGTGGCTTTTTGGCCTGTGCGCCCTTTCGTTGGTGCTCTTTGCGTTTATGTTTATGTATGTATGCATCTACGTATGTAATCTATGTAATTCTTTGCAGAGATTAACGCACCCTTTCTTCCATCATCGCTTCTTCGAACATCATGGGGGGGCTGCCGCTCCCCCCCCCCCAACCCCCCTGCTACTTTTTAGATTGCTTACACAGATTAACATGCACCCCTAATTCCATCATCACTTTTGCGAACATGGGGCTGCCCCCCCCCCACCCCCCCCCGCTACTTTTGGATTTTGTACAGAGATTGGAATGCACCCCTTTTTGAATCACTTTTTCGACCATCATGGGGGTTGGGCTGCCGCTCCCCCCAACCCCCAACCCCCTCCCCGCTACTTTTTGGATTTTTTTACAGAGATTGATTTGCACGCCTGTTCCCTTTTTGAATCATCATTTTTTCGACTATCATGGCCACCCCCCACCCCCCCCACCCCCCGCTCCTTTTCAACATGCATACATACCTGCCTACCTTGCCCTTGGCAATAGAGAGCCACCGCTACCCACGATCTGCTGGTGATGCTGGGGATGTTGGCGGGACATGCGGGGGATGTTGAAAACAATGGACGGGCTAGTGTAGAATACGCACATTGCGAGAGAAAATGCCGTAGAATACGACATTTTTCTGGCCAAGACGAAAAACGAAAAAGAAAAATCGGAGCAAAAAGAACGACAAAGAAAACAATCCCAAAATGGATCCGCGGCCCAAAAAGATAGCCACCAAACTGTGTAAAGAAGAAGAGAAGATTCCTACATGCGGATGCTCTGCCACAAAGAACATGGCGGGCTTACTGCCAGCAATTGCCCGGACTCCAACAATGTAGTCAGGCATGGGCCGGGC